CTCACTCGTCCGCATCTCAATAGATCATGCATCCATTTATACAATCGTGAATCCATTGAACCGGTAAACCCTTCGCTTTAACAACTTTTTCATGCCATAAAAGTCTTCTAGCATATAGTTATCAACATACATTAGCTTTTTCATAAGTTGATATAAGTCATCGTAACACCTCTTCGCAAAACGATGTTCGAACTTTAAGTATAACAAATCGACCAATGCGGATAATCGTGAGTTACTTTCCGAACTAGGCGAAATCTCTCTATTCGATACATTTAATAAATCATAAAATGCCTAGGTAGTAGGATTTGGGACTTCATCGATATTAGATGGAATAAATGATGAACCAATTGCATCCATCACCTTTGTATTATACGGATTGATCGGAGGTTCATCAAAGATTTGTTTAGCTTCAATAAGATTTTCCATGTTATTACCATAAACCACTAACTCACTTTCTCCATAATGTCTCCACACATATTACTCGAACGCAAAATAATATTTCATCAAATGGTACTTAACTATATCGGGATCTTCATAATTATGGTTCTAATACTTTATGAGTTTTCAAGGATATCTTATCTTATTTTTGTCCATACACTCAAGATGACTAATGGCAAAAGTAATAAATTCATTTACTCCATCAATGAAACACTTATTTAAAAGATCATTGGTATATAAATAGTCGATCCATGAACTATCCGAATTCATAATTAGTTTCGTCCGCATATTCAAGTGAAAAACAAAATAACTAGTTATTATTATTTAAAAATTATACATTGGACATCATACGGATGTTTGTTACAACTAATTAAAATTCTAACAAAACTACGGTAGATTTTTCCATATAAACTGGACGTTCCCTAATTAATAGATAACATAATTAATACCTAGTTAATTGTTCTCACCCTCCCATCTTCATCATAGAGTATTGACACCGACCTTATACTTTCTCAATTATTTTCCTAATGATGTCATATCCCGGCGGTATCACCCTAATATCGGTGATCAAATGCTTCAATTTTTTTCACATTTCAAGTATAACTAGATAAATACTTCAATAATAAAACTTGAAGGAAAATAATATAAAAAATAATTTCATACAAGTATAAGCTATAAAATTACACCAAAATAATTGAATTTAACACCTAATTAAAGTTTGTTAACAATTAATAAATTTAACCGACACCTAATTCATTTATTTTAACACCTAATAAAATTATTTTACACCTCAATAAATAAAATTAACACCTAATTAAATATTTGTAACAATTAATAAATTTATTTAACACCTAATTAATTTATTTAACAATTAATTTATTTTATTAACACCTAATTAACTTATTTTAGCATCTAAATAACATAATTAACACCTAATTAATTACTTTAACAACTAATTAAAATTGTAAACAATTAATTAATTTAATTAATAACTAAGTAACCTATTTTAAAACCTAAATAACATAATTAACACCTAATTAATTATTGTAACACTAAATAAATTTTTTGAACAATTAATTAATTTAATTAATAGCTAATTAAGTTATTTTAACACATAAATAATATAATTAACACCAAATTAATTAAAATAACACCTAATTAAATATTTTAACAATTAATTACATTTTATTAACAATTAATTAATTTGATTAACATATAATTAATTTATTTTAACACCTAAATAACATAATTAACACCAAATTAATATAATTAACACTTAGTTAACTTATTTTTACAACTTAAATAACATAATTAATACCAGATTAATTAAACTAACACCAAAATAAATGAACTTAACACCTAATTAATTTTTTTAAGAATTAATTAATTTAATTAACTCCTAATTAACTTATTTTAACACCTAAGCAACATAATTAACACCAAATTAACATAATTAAAACCTAATTATTATTTTTAACACTTGATTAACTTAATTAACTCCTAATTAACTTATTTTAATCCCTAAATATCATAATTAACACCAAATTAATTAAACTAACACCTAAGTAAATATTTTAACACTTAATTAAATTTTTTAACAACTAATTAATTAGTTAACACCTAATTAACTTATTTTAAGACCTAAATAAAATAATTAACACCAAATTAACATAGTTAACCCTTAATTAATTAGTTTAAAACCTAATTATATTTTTTTAACACCTAATAAAATTATTTTACAACTAACCCTAGCAAGAAAATAAATGAAAATAACTAACAATTAAAAACAATTATTAAACAACAATGTGTATAAATATTGAAATCAAAGGCAAAAAAAAAAAAAAAAAAAAAAACAAAAATCAAAATGAATATAAGTATTGAAATCAAAGGCAAAAAGCCAAGAATTGACAATGATTGAGTTAGGAAGTCGACCACTAATGGAGGTAGAGAGAAGGGAGGAGCTCGCTACCAGTGCTACTTGGACCCATAGAGAAGAGGAGGGAAGGGAGGAGGAGAAGGAAATGAGAGAAAGAAGAAGAAAATGATAGATGAAAATGAAAGAGATGGAGGGGAAGAAGAAGAAAAATGAGAGAGAATGGGAGTTTGGATGGTTTCATGGCATCAATGGAGGATTTTTAGGGGGTGGTGGCACTAGTGAAGAAGAAGAAGAGAGAAAAGAAGAACAAAAAATGGGGAAAAAGAGTTGTAGAATCTAATTTAGTGATTTTGCATTTAGCGAAGGATTTCATTCTATCGCTAAATACAAAATCCCTCTTTTTTATATCTATAAAAAAACCAGCTTTTCCTCAAAGTATAATTTTTAGTGATGGTCTTATCGGATCATCGCTAAAGCACCTAAAAAATGGTTTATTAGCAACGATTTTCCAAAAACCGATGTTGAAATCCCTAATTTTTTTAGGGATTCTAGCAATGGTTTTTATTAAACCGTCGCTAAAAACTCCTAAATTTTTAGGAGAATTTAGCAAGGGTTTGCCTAGACTATCACTAAATTCCTCCAACATTTTGGGTGGTTTTTGGTGATGGTTTAAGTAGACCATTGTCAAAATCTCCAAAAGTATCCGTTAGAACTATTTGGAGAATTTAATGATGGTTTGTTTAAATCGTCATTAAATTTTCCCAAAGCGGTTTGTTAGCGACGATTTCACTAAAATAGTCGCTAAATTCTCCAAAAGTATTTGTTGGAGTTTTTTAAAGAATTTAACTACGATCTATTTAAACCGTAGCTAAAATTCACCCAAAACATTTTCTTAGCGATGGTTTTTCGAAAATCGTTGCTGAAAACCCTAAAGATTGATGGAATCTATGACGGTCCGAATGGACCAATGCTTAAATCTCCAAATGTATCCGTTAGAATTTTTAGGGAATTCAACTATAGTCTTTTTAACCTATTGCTAAATTGATTAATTTTTATTTTTTTTTAACGATTTTCCTTAAACCATTGTTAAAAACTTCAAAAAAGTGGGTGGAATCTATGATGGCTTGAGTAGAGCGTCGATAAAATCCTCAAATATATTCGTTAGAATTTTTGAGGAATTTAGCGATGGTCTATTTAAACCTTCACTAAATTTAACCAAAACATTTTCTTAGCATTAGTTTTCTTAAAATCGTCACTAAAACCCCCAAAATGGGTGGAATCCGTGACGGTCTTAGTAGACAATCGCTAAAATCTCTAAATGTATCCGTTAGAAATTTTTGGGAAATTTAGCAATAGTCTATTTAAACTGTTGCTAAATTCACTCAAAATATTTTTTTAGCAACGGTTTTCCTCAAACCATCACTAAATACCCAAAAATTGGGTGGAATCGCGACGATCCGAGCACACCGTGACTAAAATCAACCCAAAATGGGTTTTTAGCAAGGGTTTCACAAAAAAGGTTGCAAACAACCCCAAATTTTAGGGGGTTTAGCGATGGTTTGATTAAACCATCACTAAAAACCCCATGAATATTTTTTTAGCGAGGTTTAATGAAAACTGTCACCAAAATCCCTTGACTTATGTCTAATTTATGAGTTTTTTTTTTTTTTTCAAATTTGTGAGTTATTACCGATGGTTTAACAAACCATCTCTAAAAACCAACACCATCAACAAAATTAGCCATAGTTTGCTCAGACCATCATTAATTTTTGATATTTAGAGACGTTTTTCGCTAATGAACAGTAACTATTTCTTTGTTTTCTTGTAATGTAGTGAGAGTTTTTATTTAATGATGAAAAATATTTAATAATAAAACAATAAGCTAAGGATCAAGGGCTTTGATTTTTGTGGAGGAAAACCCATGTCTAAGAAAAGAGGGGTTTTATTTAGTAATGAAAATAATAAATAAGGAAACAACAATTTACCGTATCCAAAGAAGAAGAAGAAGAAGGAAAAAAAAAAAAAAAAAACCTATCTAAGAGAGTTAGTGTTGTGCCGAAGAAAAAGGAAAATAGCGAGGAAATATTTTATTTTTTTAGAATTTTTTTACGCGAGCTTGTATGTCAAACAATACTAAATATATATATATTTTTAATGATCTTAAAAGCACAATTCTACATCCGTATGGTATATTTTGATTAATAGAAAAGCAAATAATAATATTAATAATAATAAAAGAAGGAGAGAAAGGTCCAATTACAGTTCGATTCTTCGACTTGGGGAAAAAAAAAACTGTATGAATCAATCAAATAAAAGACATGCATTAATGTACACGTATTCCAGGGGAAAGAAAAGGGTTTTGGACCGAAGGAAAGCAAGGAATAGTCCTTCTCCATCTTTTTTATAATGAAGAAACAACATGGATTGAGCACCGCCTGAACTTGAACCCTGTAACAGGAAAAGTTTGGAATAACAAATGAACAATCCCCACAAGAAAAGCTGAATGACTATGAACATAATATAAACTTAGCTTCAGAATGTATATTGAAGATAACAAGTTTATTATATATACAAACCCTACGTTTATAAATCATCAAGCTAGCTAACATTGCTACTTTCATCTCTTTCTAATTAAAATTAAGTTTAATTTAATATTTGGTGTCTGTCTGCCTGATCAATTCAAGCAATGGCAAATATTGATGGAATGATATCAGTAGGGATTGCAAAGAGGACACGGTCGCGTGACCATGTTGTGGAAGAGTATGTGCCTGGTTCGGCTTGGACGGAGGACTCAGATGGCCATTATCTTCTTGTAGATCTTCCGGGTATGTTTATACTTATAATTATAATCATGAAAAAGATTCATTCATTATATCAAGTTCAGTATTAGCTAAAAAGCTATAGCAATTTAATTTATTTCTTCCATTTTAAAAGCAAGACTACTTAATTTCTGCTTTTAATTTCCTGATGCATGCCTTAATTATCATGCTTCATCCTAATCTAACTTTTCAAAATCACTCGTTGAGTCATGACTCTAGAAAATATCAAACATGCGATTTAACCAATTTCTGAATGCAAACATTTAACAGTTTTATGCTGATTGTAAATATTTATCATGACTTCATTTCGGAAGATTAATTGTACCAAACCTAGCTACTTGGTCCATGTATGTAAACTATACAAAACAATTGGTTGAATCAGAATATTTCACTGTTTTAAATATTGATTTCTACACAATATGGGGCTATCCCATGATGATTGAAGACCCATGTTAATTAGGTTGGTTCTATAAGTATAGATTTAAACCATGATTAGTGAAAACCTTTCTCAGGTGACCTCATATATTTGTATTTGTATTTGTAGATTTTAAAAAGGAAGAAGTAAAGCTTCAAGTAGATAACCCTGGGCAGATAACAGTGAGCGGAGAGAGGCTGGTACACTACAACAAATGTATTTATTTCGAGCAAATATTCAAGCTTCCAGAGAATTCAGATGCTGATAACATCACTGGAAAATTTGAAGGTGAGATTCTGTATGTAACTGTTCCAAAGCAAGAAGAAACGTACAAAGAGCCAGATCAAAGCCTCGGTACCACTACCAGTGATGAAAATCACAATAATACAATATCAGAAGAGAAGGAGAGCATGGATGGTCACAGACTTGCTTTAAGGAAATATCAAGACGAGGCAACACCAATCGAGAAGGCTTTGGAGATGATAAAGAAAAACAAGGGGATTTTGCTTGCTGCCGTTTTAGCATTTTCTCTGGGGGTTTTAGTGACTCGTCATAAGTTGGAATCTGGAGGAGAATAAGTGCATTAGGTTTAGCACTTTTTTTTATTTTAAGCTTCGTTAATCTACTTTCCAGTATATATATGTATTAGTCGACAATAATCAGCATGCATATAAACATATAGCTGCCAATCCACCAGATAATTACTGACAATTAGTGTATGTTCTGTCGCCTGCTGTAATTCAATATTACTTAAAAAATCTAGTCCTCCCAGATATTCAGGTTGGGTAAATTTTGAAGGTGGACGAACTAATAAACATATTGGGACAAATTATAATAAAAAAAGTGAGAATTTCTGAACATTAAAAAAAAAGGAATAAAAAAACTATTTGGATGTAAGAACATCTCACAAGGCATCCTATACAACAGAACAATCCCTTTCATACTCAAGTTATGCTTCATATGCTTTCATGTAAAATTAAATGAGTTTTCTATCCGGACTATTAAATAGGCCCAATAAATAAAGAAGATCTATGGAAGAAATTCTTCCCCCGCCCCGTCCTCTCCCCCAAAATTTCACCCCATCTTCATCCCTATCCTTAATTACCGAAATATCCTTCATCCATAACCAACCCAAAAACCCACTAGACTTGTCACCAAATAGCCTTTTAACCTTCTGTTTCCAAAATTTTCCTGTTTCGGAATGCTCAGCATCTCAAACCGTAGTTTGAAAGGTATTGCAATGTCATTAGTGCCTTTGTTAAACAAAAGAGGGCGTAGATTTATTTTATGTATGCTTTAAACACTATCGGAAATATTGAGATTATTGACAGTTTTTTTGGCGATGGACTTAAAAACCATCATTAAAAACAATTAATTGCAATGGTGTGGCTAATTTCTTTTTGAAAATGGATTTTAGCGATGACTTAAACTCGTCGCTAATTTGATAAAAAAAGATTGAAATTAGCGACGGTTTACGTAAACCGGTCGCAACGCAAACAAATTAATTTTGAATTAGCAATGGTTTAAGTAAATAATCACTAATTTTCAAAATAAAAAATTGATTTTAGCAACGGTTTACAAAAAACCACCACTAAAATCTCTTTGTTCCAAAGATAATTAGCGACGGTTAATAAAAACCATTGCTAAATTCTATTATTTCCCAAAGCTAATTTGGGAAGGAAATTTACAACAGTTTTTTTTTTGATAAAAACATCATAAAACATGGAAATTAGTGACGGTTTGCGAAAACTGTTACTAATTTTTGACTATTAGAGAGAAAATGGTCATTTTAAAAAAATTTTAGTTCATTCGAGACGATTTTAGCGATGAGACCAAAATCGTTGCTAAAAAAAAAATTCCCTAAAACCTACCGCCCACATCTCTTTTTCCCCCAAATTGTCTTTCTCTCCTCCTTCCAATAGCTGCACTTCAAAATTTTCTTTCCAATATCTCCTCCAATCTCGCCTCCAACTCCCTTTAAATATCCTCATTCCTCTTCTTTTCTTATTCCCCCCCATCTCTTCCCCTCTCCTCCTCCCTTTTCTTCTTCTTTCTCTCATTTCCTCCTCCTTCACTCACTCCTCTTCTCCATGGAAGCAGACTTCTCCATGACGGTAGCCCTTTTTCCTTTTTGGTAACGACTCCTTCTCTACTCCAAATTTGTAACTAGTAACCCATTAAGGTTTTTTTTTTTTTTTTTTGAATAATTTAATTTTTTGTTAGTTGTTGTTGTTGTCAATTGTTAAATTGTTGTTGTTGTTGTTGTTAATTATTTTTTAGTTAGTTTAATTGTTAATTATTGTTGGTAATTTTTAATTATTGTTGTAGTTAATTATTTACTAGTTAATTATATTGTTAGCTAGTTTAATTGTTCATTATTATCGTAAATTATTTATTAGTTAGTTGTTAGTTTAACTGATTTTTTCTTATAAGTAATGGTTATTTGTTAATTAATTTAATCTTTTTAAAATAATTATTTAAGTGTTATTATGATAAATTATGCGTTAAATAATTTTGATTTATATAGTTGTTAATGAAATTAAGTTTATTTGTTGATATTTAAAAAATTTAATTGTTAATTATTGTTAAATATGTAATTTATTGGTTAATTATCAGTTAATTTAATTTATTTTATTATTACAAGTATTATTTATTTATTAATTTATTTATTTTTTAAAAATAAGTATTTAAGTATTAGTTTAATAAATTATGTGTTAAATAAATTTTATTTTTTTGTTAATTAAATTAAGCATAATTATTGGTATTTAAATAATTTAATTTTTTAAAAAATATTAATAGGTGTGCGTTTAATTAATTAATTTACTAATTGTTAAATAAGCAATTACTTGTTAATAACATTAATTAAATTTTTGGGAAAATAAAATATTTAATTATTTTATGAAATTAATTTTTAGTTAGTTTAATTATAGATATAAGAGGTAATTAAATTTTTTATTTGTTACATTAAGTAAATTAATTAATTTTTAATTAAAATTTTAAAATATTGTTTAAAATAATTATTTAGGTAGTTAATTGAGAAAAATAGTTTAGAATTATATTATTTAAATATTGTATAAAAAATATATAATTACTTGTTACTTTAACTTCTTTGTTTATGAATTAAGTTTTTTTAGTTGTTAATTAAGTCAATTACTTTGTAATTAAATTATTTAAATTGTCTTTAAAAGAATCAATTAGGTTTTTAAATTAGAAAAATAAGAGTTTATAGTTAAATTAATAAAATTCAATTTAAAATATAAAATTACATGTTAGTTTCATTCATTTGCTTATTAATTTAGTTTTTTAATCATCAAATTAAGTCTATTAGTTGGTAATTATATTATTAAATTATTATTTAAAAAATTAATTAAGTAGTTAATTAAGTAAATTAGTTTATAATTAAATTATTAAAAATTTTAAAAAATAAAATTACATGCTAGTTTAATTAATTTGGTTGTTAAGTTCATTTCTAAAATTTTAAATTAAGTCAATTAGTTTGTCATTAAAATATTAAATTATTGATTAGAAGAATTAATTTGGTAGTTAATTAAAATAATAATTATACTCGTTAAATCAGTTTTTATTTTTTAATTGAAGTAAATTAGTTGTTTATTAAATTAATTACATTTAGTTATAAATGAATTTGGATCGTTCATATATTGACTATAGACTAACCGATGAGGTTTTAAATCAGTGTTTCATATATGAGGTTAATGAATTTATTAATTTTATTGTTAATCATCCGGAATGTATGTATGAAAATAAGATAATATATTCTTATAAACTTAAAAAGTGTCATACCCTTAATTTTAAAACTCCTCATACAATTAAGTACCATTTGATGAGATATAATGTTGTTTTCGGGTATTATGTGTGAAGACATCATAGAGAAAATGAGTTAGTTAATTATGATGACAATTTGGTAAATTTTTTTCAACCTAAAAAAATATTTGATGAATCTCTAGTCAATTCATATCACATAATAGTGATCGATGCAAATGGTCCATCATTTAATTTGTCTAACACGGACGAAGTCCCAAATCCTAATGTTCAAGTATTTTATGATTTGTTGAATGAATCCAATGGAGTGATCTAGCTTGGTTCGGAAAACCATTCACATTTATCCGTAATGGCCCGTTTGTTACATATCAAGTTTGAACATCATTTTTCAGAGAGGTTTTACGACGACTTATATCAATTTATGAAAGAGTTGATGAGTTGATGTCTATCGATAATCGCATACCGGAAGATTTTTACAGTATGAAAAAGTTGGTAGAAATGATGGGTTTACTAGTTCAACGGATCCACAAATGTATAAATGGATGCATAATTTATTGGGGTGAAGGCAGTGAGAGAATCATTAGTAAAATCTGTTACCATCTTCGATATCAAATTCCTAGGTAGGGATTAATTAGAGAAACATATGTCCCATATAAAAAATGTATTATTTTTCTCTAACCCTACAGTTATAAAGGATGTATGCATTGACTACTACAGCTGGTGACATGATATGGCTTGCCAATATGAAATTAAGGTAGACATCATGAGTCATTATTCGACTCCTTTGCATGATGGAATTTCGATCACACACATCCTTTGTTTACATAAAAAATTAAGAATTTGCGATTAGGAGTCTATACCGATGGGTTTCAATCTTTTGGTTAACTAAATAATAATATTCTTTATGGCCTATCATGGTAACATTTTACAATTTGCCACCATAGAAGTATATGAAGGAAGAATATATGTTCTCAACTCGTAATTGTCCTAGGATCTAAAAACTAAAAGATCAACCTAAACGTGTATTTATAGTCCTTAATTAAAATATTGGTTGAATTGTGGTTAGTTGGTGTGCTTACCTATGATGTGTCTAGTAAAAATTTATAGATATAAGCTACAGATCACGGGGACAATCGGTGACTTCCTTGCATATTCAATGTTGTCGAGTTAGAGTACTATGGGTAAAATAGCATACCCATATTACATGAAAAAATATGATGCTTTTAGTCTCCTTAATGGCGGAAAGATTTCTTAGTTTGATCGTCAACATAAGTTTCTACCATAAAGTCATCCTTTTAGGAGAAATAGAAACCTATTCAAGAAAAATTTAATTATGATAGACATTGCTCCCCCGATGTCTAGAATAAAAGTTTTGCATAAAATCCAAAATTAGGGGTTGTTGAAAGTCATGAAAGAGGGTTTTGAAGAATGTAACAATAATATATCTAGAGTTTGTGGTTGTAAGAAACATAGTATATTTTAAGATCTCGCCTTATTGGAGTACTAATTTAATTCGACATAATTTGGATGTGATGCACATTGAAAAAAATGTATTCGACAATGTGTTTAATATAGTTATGAGTGGGTCAAAAAAAATAAAAATAAAAGACAACGCAAAGTATAGAGAAGACTTGAAACTTTATTATCGATTGCTAGAATTAGAAATAGATGAAAAATTTTAAAAGTAGACTAAAACATGTTACACATGGTGTATGAAACAAAAATAACAAGACTAGTATAATATCAATGGATGTATCGATTTGAATTGTAAATATATTAAGTTTAAACTAAATATATT